TCTCTCTGTCTCTCTCTCTCTCTCTCTCTCTCTCTCTCTCTCTGTCTCTCTCTCTCTCTCTCTGTCTCTCTCTCTCTGTCTCTCTCTCTCTGTCTCTCTCTCTCTCTCTCTCTCTCTCTCTCTCTCTCTGTCTCTCTCTCTCTCTCTCTCTGTCTCTCTCTCTCTCTCTCTCTCTCTCTCTCTCTCTCTCTGTCTCTCTCTCTCTCTCTCTGTCTCTCTCTCTCTCTCTCTGTCTCTCTCTCTCTCTCTCTGTCTCTCTCTCTCTCTCTCTGTCTCTCTCTCTCTCTCTCTCTGTCTCTCTCTCTCTCTCTCTGTCTCTCTCTCTCTCTCTCTGTCTCTCTCTCTCTCTCTCTGTCCTCTCTCTCTCTCTCTCTCTGTCTCTCTCTCTCTCTCTCTCTCTCTCTCTCTCTCTTCTGTCTCTCTCTCTCTCTCTGTCTCTCTCTCTCTCTCTCTCTCTCTCTGTCTCTCTCTCTCTCTCTCTCTCTCTCTCTCTCTCTCTCTCTCTCTCTCTCTCTCTCTCTCTATATATATATATATATATATATATATATATATATATATATATATATATATATATATATATATATGTAATATGTATATATATTTATATATTTATATAAATGTTTGTATATTTTTTCTCTCTTCTTTTTTTCTTTTCTTTTGTTCTCTCCTTCTCCACCGCTTGATCTTTCTCCTTCTCCTCTTCATTCAATTCCTCATATTCTTTCTCCTCCCCTACTTCTTCCTCCACTGCCTCTATTTCCCTTTTGAAAACCCCCACCACAGTCACGCAAAGCTAACACCACCTACCCTACCCCCAGTTCCGCACCAAGATGCATCGCCTGTGTTGTGGGACTGAACTCACTTACAAGCGCAGTGAAATCCTTACCCTCAGTGGGAGGTCGCGTGTAGGGCCCTCGCCTGTGCAAATGATGAACACCTCAGCGACCTCGAAGTAAGTCCATTTACCTATTGATTGGGATTTTTCTGCATGCAGGTGATCCTGTGGGTGGATTTGACTTTTTTTCTAATATTGCAAAAGAACACCATTTTTTTTTTATCTTTTTTACTAGAAGTGTCATTTGTGTGTATATATACTTTTTTTTTATCCACTTCTACCTCTTTTTCTCTTGGAGCCGTAACCATCTTTCGGAATTAAGTTCTGTGTCTCGTCCCCACTTGATTTGTACTACATTGTATCAAAGATATCTTAACCTCTGGTATAACTTGTAGTTTATATGGTCTCCACCTATTGTACTGGCCTACAGCCTACAGGTATAAATATTTATGGTATATTCAAAACAAACCATATAAAAGATTGTTATTGGCACATAGACTACTTTCCCTTTCTTAAAGAGTCTACAATCTAGTATTTCATGCATGCTCCCCTGTGATATTATATGAATCTTATTGCACAGAGAATTATTGCGTGTGCTGCACTGATGGAACCAATACAAGATTATGGGGCATTGATTGCTTACTGGAGGGTGTCCTGCAAAGGAGGGTTTTTGTAAGAGCGATGGACGATAGGGAGGTTAATTATTCCTGGGGCTGGCTGTAATACCCCATGACTTGAATATGGAATGGGGACAAACACTAAGTGGTATGGTGTTCTTAAATTACTGCACCAGTACATATAACCAAGCTGCGAAATTGTGCAAAGCAAGTAATTGAAAGAATATTGGAAAATACCCTCTTAGCTTGAGTTAGTTTTGATATCATGGAAATACAAGAACTATGATCATAGCAGTTTCAGTTGAATATCTAGAATAAAGTACATGCTATTATAGTAGGCTAACAAATAAGAATTGTTAGGATTAGCAAGATTGCTTATTTTCATGCTGTGTCTATTGCTTTCCTGGAATTTAAAGTCCCTTTCAATAAAATCTGAAAAAAATGTGCATGTAAATGCAAAGATATACAAAAATAATTATGACATACTCATTATAATATTTCCATTACTGTTGTCAGCTGTAGTACAAATGTTTTTTTTCTTTTTAAGGGAATGTGCTGTTCTGTCATGAATTACTTGGCATGTTTACTAGAAATCATACTTATGAAAAGAGTCTTTGCTTGATTATGAAAATCTACAAAATATGAGATAATTGACAACTAGAAACATGTTTCTGCATGTTGGTTTAGAGATGACCTAAATTGATAAGGATTGAAGTAATACTTATACAGTATTTTCAGATTTTATCCACTGATAATGATTTTTCACAAAGCATAAAGGCAATTTTAAAATGCTTGCTTAGATATGAAGTGAAAGCTTTTATAAAGAAAATATTTAAACTTCTTGCCTGGTGCTAAGATAAATACATGACATGGTACTTATGTAAAATGAAATGCATCCTCAGTAGGAATGGAATATATAAACTGTGACATTTTATTTCCACATGGATTCCTCATCAGACAAGGCAAAAAAACAAGTTTCTAACAAGTTCTTTGTTATTTTGTTTCGTCTGACCAGGTCTCCAGGTAGATTCAAAACATCCCAATTCTTTATTCTGTTCCTATTATAGTTACATTTCATTTAATCTGTGTGCATATGTTACTGTGTTTGTATAATTTTTTTTATGGTATGTCTGTGTTATGAGAGATATCTTATATATTGGAGCATTTTAAATGCAGCTTTTTTCCTTTTCATTTCTTTTCTTTTTGGTATTTAGATATTATAAAGATATGCAATTTAAGGAACTTTATATTTCAGTAAAGATTCAACATTATATATCAGTATATGTGAGTGGTATTTTTCCCTATTGCAATTAAAGTCTTTGGTGTTTTCATGATTCAAGAGCAGAGATGACTTTCAATGTGTCATCAATTAAAGAAGTATTTTTCTTTTTGCTTTCATAGCTTACATACTAGAGAAATTGGTTTTATGTACAGTGGCCCAAAACTTCTTTCCATTATACCCTATCTCTATATGTGTACAAAGCACTGACACTATATTTCCTATTTGAGCATGAGCATTTTCTCTAACCAATCCTTCCAGACAGGGAGAGACTACACAGTGTCTTCAGCCATGTATGGTGTGATCTGTAATGTCTTTCAGGGTTTATGTCAATGGTCGATTCACCTACGATTCTCACAGCGCTGGGACTGCCTTTAGGTGGTCTGTAGTACATCAGTAGGATTAGGTCCCAGCAGTTTTCCCCATATGCCTCTGCAGGCCAGAGACTAAGTAATTTATGAAATATATGACTGCTTGTTCAATAATTTAAATGTATACATATATGTTTATGTACATTTACATAGCTATATATTTCTTTTGAGGTTGGCTGACTAACCTTCACTTTCCTCCACCAGTTAATGGTATGTTGGTCCAGAAATATTTGATCTGCAGATCATTTTTTTGGTGTTCATTGCCTTCCTAAAAGTCTGCCAGCTAAAGGAAATAAATAAACCAAGAATGTCAATAAGATTTTAAAGGCATGTTAACATATAAGATTTATATAATTAATGTAAATTCTGTATGATATGCACAAAAACTTAATTCTTAAGAAAGCATGGTGTTATTGCTCTCATTATAGGAAATGAAGCATGCACACTTTATCTTTTGAATTATATGTATTGCCAAACATAGTTTTTAATTGTGTTAAACTACTAAGAATGATCAGAATCATTTGCCAAAATTAATTATAAAGCATTTCTATGCAAAATTTGGTTAATAGCTATGTTTTATTTCTGAATATAATATCAGAGCAAAAGTACTATTGTTTGTATATGTGCCTACAATTAATATGTTAAGATAAGACCAAGTGGACAATTTTGGTTTATTAGAGAAAATCCCTATGTCTCACACCTGCAGGATGATCACTCCAGTAGGCAGCAAGCCACCAGTACAAAGCAACACAGCTACTTCCATAGACAGACATTCCCCCCCAGAAGGGGGTTCTCCCACCACTGGCAGAAACACGCCTGCTGTGAGAAGTGCCTTTTCTGCAGGAAGAATTACTCCTGGTGTAAGAAGTGCAATTTCAATAGGAAGAATGACTCCTGGATTAAGAGGGAGTGATTCGACTGGAAGAATAACTCCTGGAATGAGAGGAAGTGCTTCTTCCTCTAGAAACAAGTCTGCACTTCAAGGAAGTGCCTCTGCTTCTGGCAGAACTACTCCTGCAGAGCGAGTAAAAACCCCCTCAGTGGGTATTATGAACTTCTTTATTCGTTCAACAGCCTCAATTGAGGGGCTGTTAAAATCAGAAAAGACCTCACGTGCTTTCTCAGCACGAAAAAATAAGCACTTATCGGTACCCACGAACACTACAGTAGATCCTATGGAAGCCCAATCTCTTCAGCAAGGAGAAAAGTAGAAGACTCTGAGGCACACCTGTTCTCTTCGAAGTCCTCATCATTGTGTAGAGTTGGTGCGATTGCTTGCCTGCTGTTGGTGTATCATTACTGTATTATTAGTATATTTTAGTAAAGCTAACAATGGAATGATCTCTGCTCCATATGATGCCTCTTGGTTTTGTTTTCATGTATAGTTGGTCAGTTACATAAGAAAGTCAGCATATATAAGTTCATTGATTATTTGGTAAGATAAAATGTTACAAAGAAAAGTACATGCATATGTATGTACAGACATATCTGTACATATATATCATTTATAGATATGCTATGCTGATATGAAACTGATGTGTGTATGCAGTAGTATCTTTCTGACTAAGGTCTTAGATATTTTTTATTGCATTTTTCTTTCATTTGCAGAGGTTGCATGAAGTAAAGGATTTAATAACTTTTTCAAGTATTGTCTTCTATAGTGTATGTAATATGTATATATATATATATATATATATATATATATATATATATATATATATATATATATATATATATATATATATATATATATAGACATATATATATAATATATATATATATATATATATATATATATATATATATATATATATATATATATATATATAGACATAGATATATGGATACAGATATAGATATATAGATACATATATATATAGATATATAGATATATGTGTATATATATTGTAAATAAAATTTAAACTTATATTCATTAGCAGTAGACATGAGGGGATATATGATACTTGCATATATATCCTGCATTGCCCAAGTTACAAATAAGTTTTGGTAGTCAGTAATTGCATTTTTCTTGCATGTATTAGAGGAGAAAACATTATTAGAAAAATAAATGAAACTGTGCAGTGAAAATAATTTTACAAACATTTAACGTGCAAAATAAAACGTTTGCCGATATAAATTTCAGCTTCTTTTGCATTCTAAAAACACATTACTTTATACATGCACATTCCATTTACATAAAGCTTCAATGCATCTCTTAAATAGTTCAATTTGAAGTGAATATGAATAAACATATTAAGTATATACACTTTGGTCTTGCTTTGTAAACCCTAGATTATATATCTTAGTTTAGTTTGACTAGATTCCTTAAATTATTTTTAAATAATTCTCTTGAAAGAAAAAAAAAAGTTTTAGAAATAATTTTGAAAAGTAAATTTGATATTATCTTTCGTGTCCATCTTATATTCATCAATCAATAGCCCCACCCCCCCTTTTAATTCATTTCAAATATTTTTTTTCTAATTTTCTCTGCTGTAAATCTGTAACCAAGTTCCCATTTTTTTCTTCGTCATTACAGTAGTCCAGTTCGCTCGCCTCGTTCGGCTCGTTCAGTTCCTTCATCCCATGTCTCGGCTACTGAGGAGAGGACCAGCCAGGTAACGACATCAAGTTACTCGCTCCCTAACACACCTCCAGAAGAGAAGACTCAGGATTATATTCTCATTAGGAGGTCATACAACTTCAATGAAGATGATCCTGATGATTATTATTGAAAATCTTCAGTCTAGTATGAAGGTTCATCAATTTGGGAATATTGAAAAAGAAAGAAGTGATATTTAATATTACTAGATTATTTTCCCGTCTAAATCATGATCATAAGAATTTTAGTTCTGTGTTTTGGAAGTAAAAAAAGTACAAGCATAACATTAATTACATTAGTTATTTCTTAAAAGTGTGCCTTTCTTTGTAATAAATCAGTTTTCTTTGCAAAATATTAGGTTTTGATTTATTTGATTTTAGGCATTCCCCACATATTTAAGTAAGATCATAATTTTACTGCAGTAGTATTGAAGTTGTAGTGTGTGTGGATAAAATGTAAATTCTTTTAAATAATCTTTATTCCTTTGTACATCTTGGTACATGTACAGTTCATTTAGGTAAGAAATTGTCAGTGATTACTGTCATGGTATAAAGTCTGTGATTCAATGTTGTGTTATGTGAAATACCTTTTCTTATTAATATGTAGTTTTTTCTTGCTATGTTTATCTGGAAAACTGATTTTGTGACACAGTTAACAAAAAAGTAGGAAGTAAATATTTTTATGTAGATATAACTTTTTCCTCTGACAGGTTTAACATACTGGAGTCAAAACAAACCTTCAAATGAATACAAAGGACATTCATGGAATGGGTACATGTGATTTTCTTTTTGTATCATTTCCTGTCTGTGATATGTTACTGTTGAGAATGGACCAATCTGTTCTCACACACCATGAGAGTCCTTATGTGTTTAAATATAAGTACACTTTGAGTTCATCAAATAGTCATCTCAAATAAAATGTAAGTAATCTTTTATAATTCATAAAAGATTTATGTAATTTGTATGTTGTTACAGTCAATCATGCTGCATATTACAGTTAGATGGGTGGACTGTCAGCTTTCGTTTGCGTGCAACTATTCACAGGCTTGTCTATTATGCTAAAAAGACTGTCCTTTTCTTTTAATATATTCTTATATCAAAAATGACTTCATACATATACAAAATATGAACAAAAGCAAGTACGTCAAATGAACAGAGATTATCAAGACAGGAATTTGTAACATGACGGCAATAATTTTTATAACTTGCAGACTGAGACCATTTCTAATCAACAATATATGTAAGGTCGTATATTACAAGCTGATCAGCTGAGAAGTTTGTGGGAAATATTGAAAGCTTCATGAAGACTTGTGTATCTACATTACAAGAGCCTGGAACTACAACTAGTCACTAGATAAAACCAATGACCAGACCTCAGCATCTACCTTAGTTACCCTCTTTGTAATATTAATGAAGGAGTTAAGTGTGCAAAGCAATAAAGCAAAATATATATTTATACATATGTATATATAATAAGTAGGTTTCATTAGTTATTCAGTAAACCCAAAGTTATCTATTTTCCCATTTACTTCAGCAGCATCCCTAAAGTTAACAATACAGCAATGTGACACAAACTATTATCCTTTATATAATTCTCTACATTTTCAAACTTGTAAGCTACAATAGTATAAGATTTGATCTATCAAAATCTTTTTTCTTGTCACAAACAGCTAAAACTAATAGGGGTTTCGAATGATCCACAACGGTTGGTGTGCATTTTTTTTTTGCATAAATATCAACCAACCCATTTAATTCTCAAATAAATGCATTGATTTTGTTCAGGGGTCCTATAGGTACTCTATACAGGCAAGCATAACAGGTAAGAGTAGCTACAGACATTTGTATTCCTGTCTATAAAATCTGGAAAGGTGGCTACAAACAGGTTTTGTGTGTTGATTAGCTTATTATTAGTAATGCCTAGCTGTTCCGGCTTGGAATGGTTTGTAATATATTGTGGAATATAAAGTGATTTTGAGATTAATGGTTGTATATTTGTTCTTCGTGCCTGCGATATCTGTGTAGAAGGTAATAGTCATTCCTTCTTTATATGAAAGGCATAAAAGTAGTGATCGAAACTAATCCTTTCAACTTCTAGGGCCAAAGTGCTAATTAAAGCAAACTAAAAAAAAAATTTTTTTTTTTTTTAGTCTTGAGCTTTGACATATACAAACTGGTAGATAAACCACTACAAGCAACAAAAGAAATTATACTTGACTAAATTCACCATTTTATATCTATGTCATTCTTCAAACCAATTTCTCTTGAGACATTCATCACGTATATGCTTTAGTAGCTTTAAAGTTTGGCTGATTAACTTGAAATGATAACACAAACCTCCATATGGCCTGTAATATCAAAGTGAAAAAAAATAATAATAAAAAAATAAATGAATAAAAATCAATAAACAAGGCCAATAATTTCAAAACTTCTAAAACTTCAAAACTATATCTACCCTGGAATGGACTGGTCTTTATTACAACTAAATCCTATATACATACAGTGAACCCTCCTAATAATTTACACCAACTTTTTTTTTTAAGAAGCAATTACTTACACTAAAAACTTAAAATCCAAAACTGCACTTTCTCTAAGTACTTTCACACTTACTACAACCAAATACAATGCCCTATATTGGCTATCAATGACACATGCATGACAATGTATAATGAGCCTGTCCAGCTTTTTACTTTAAAATTCTTAATATTTACTGATCCTATAATTTACAATCCTTGGAGTAAGCTTCTCATGACAACAGAATTCCCATTAACACGAAAATAATACACTAAGTTCATTATGTAATGACAAACTAAACATTCAGTTCACTTATACAATACTGCAATATGTAACAACAATGAAGAAAATTCAAAAGCAACATTCAAAGATATTTATACCAGAGCAAATCAGTACTACAGAAACCTCATATGAAAAATATTATTCTTATACTTTAAAGTATGTCATGAATTATTCATACCACCGCAATCTGGTGTAACCCTTTCAAAAAATTCTTCACAAAGAGGAAAGTTAAAGTATAACAGCAACTGATTTTCCAAACCCATTTCCCAGTATCAATAACAGGCCAAAGTTAAATAAGACATATTTAGCAGAACACGTATATTTTGTGGATAAGCATCTGAAAACCATATACTTTTATTTCTTTACATTTTAATGATAAATACTTTTGTCACAAATATTCTGTACAAGAATCTTTGTAATAAGCAGTTCATTGAATTAATGTGCACAATGCATTTCTGAAATTGGGGGTTAACATCATCCATTAGCATTCAAATTACTATTTTTAGTAAATGATTCACAAAAGAAACAAAACTACAGAGCAGAATTCTAGCTTTACAACATACTATGAGAAATCAAAACATTAGACTCTAATTCCAATTAATATCTAACACCATTTACTCTTGACAATTTACAGTTAAGGATTACAAAGTAAAATTCCTTTTCGAAATTCCTTAAGTTTATTGTGATCTGTACAGTCTGGACAGAATCACACAAGATCCAGTTTATATTAAAAAGAAAGAAAAAATTATTCAAATGACATAAGACATATTACATCTCAATTACTGGATAAAAATACAGGATACAAAATCGAAACACGCAGTAACTCATGAAAAAGGATGAAGAAAAAAAGAAAAAAGAAAAATATATATTACCTAATTCTTCACCAGAAACAGATTTTTTCAACAAATTAAAAGATTCCACAGTGCAATTAACAGTGGATCTGGTATGTGAGTTAGCATGGGTGTAAGAACCCCATGTAGGGTCTACAAGTTCCACAACAGACCCGTATCCAGTGACACGTCCGGTATGCTGCTGCATCAAAAATAAGTAAGTCAACAACTAGGAGCTGCAACTATATTGTTAAACAAAGGAATGCCCTGGCAAAGGCCAAGAATGCCCGAATGTGTAGTTCCATAACAATATAGTTATACTTAGTTTAATGTACAACACGCCACTGTGCTGTCTGTCATCTAATCCTAGAGGCATAATATACTAACGACCAATTTGACCAGACAACATTGTGGCATGTGATAAGAATTTTTTGCGTACATAGAAGGGTTAAAAAGGAGAAGTTGGCGGGCTTCATATGCAAGCTCTGCGGCTACCAAGGGTTTGTATTTCACCACCTTCAGGATCCCACAGTTTACCAGGTTTTGGTTGCTTACACTGTGTGAAAACTAGTCAGTACATTGTAGTTAATTTCACACATTCCGTCACAACACCAAATGGAGTAGTCACATCTCATACAAAGCAATAGAGATTAGAAAGGTCTAGGAATTTTTGAAGTCTGTAAACACTTCCACATAAAGTTCTAATCACTGGGCAAGCTCAATGTCACAATACACAAACCCACACAGTACAATTTTCTTGTTGAATAACCTCAGCATATTTTAACACTGCAGTTATAGTCAGTACAAATCTCACATCATTACTGCTTTACCAAAAACTAAGCTTCAGTAGTAGACAAGGACAGCTTCAGCCCAACTCTACTGATGCAATGCTGAGGGTGGGGCCAAAATCTATGGTCCTCATACAGACAGCGTAGTGCAGGAATAAAAAAAAGCCTCAACCAAAATATGCAGGTCCAACTGAGCAGGACATTAGCTCCATCTGTAAACATACAGAAAATGAGAAATTTTAGTACAATTCTCACACTTCACTGACTGGAAGAAAAAATATCCTCTACATAGTGAGATTACTTGAGAACAAGTAAAAAAAAAAAAGAAGAATAAATAAATAAATAAATTTCATAATTCAGGACAAACAAAATAAACTACCCTCATTATCATCTCCCTTATCCTAGCAATATTTAAATAAAATACATCACCAATGTGTTCATCTACTTTCTAGGGCAGTTAAGACACTAAAAATACTAAGAACTTCTATATCATAAAAAGTTCACAAGAGAAATAGAAAGAATTCTTTCATCTTTCCCTATCTGAAGCATCTAGACTATACACCACTAAAAAAAGAACTGGGTAATAACATCTATGAAGATGACATTACTTGTAGATACTTCTTTTCTTTCATTCTGCCTCATTTGAGTTTTGTTCTCCTGTGTGGTTATCTATGCAGAGACATTTAATACTGCTTAATCTTTCTTTTGATTCCATCAAATTTCTCCAGTCTGACTTACATTTGGATATTGGGGCTTTTAGTCTTATAAAAGCTTGTAACTAATAATTCACATGCCCTCCAAGTTTTTACCTGATTTATCACACTGGAAGTTACTGGAAGTTCTGTAACCCTCAATTCAATGACATTTGATGCAATTTGATCATCTCCATCTGAGTTTTCTAAATGCTTTTTGACTGCTATGTATTGGTTTTGGAAAAGATCACCTTCAGAGGCTGTAATTTCTCCACCCTTTGATCAGCTTAAGAGATCAGTTAATATGTTTTCACTTTATAAATACCTTATGATTTTCTATCTCCTCTTTCTTTCTTAGTTGTCTTTTGACCTAAAGTGACATCTTTGGTAGCATAATTCTCAATTTTTTCAGTGTGGCTCTTTATATGGCTTACTGTATTAATAATGATATTTTAAAGGAGCTGCTTGAACAGAGCAAACTTACCGAAACAACAAAAGTTATTAAGAGTACTTTTTGAAGTAAGAACATAAAACAAAATGATGGAATAATGATTCTCATTTAGTAATAAGGAGTATACGAATGACAAGAGTATGATGCTTTTATAGACACATTATCACACTAATGCAATCCTGATCTGTAGTACAAACTATCAAAATATATAAACAAACCTGTTACAGATGGAGAGAGATGCAAGATCTCAAATTTACGCCTGTCCTTCTTGCACACCACCCTTTTCCTCACGAGGCTTAGCTCCACCAAATATACTGGATGACTGCGAAGTCTCCGCTTGCTGATTTACAGGATCCGTCTTTGTCCTTGGCAACAGCTTCAGCCTGGGCCTCTGAGACAGATCCTCTGTAAGAACATATCAAAAACAAATTAAAATAGTGAACCTAATAATTTGAAGTCTATACAATATCAAGTTAACTAGCAACCAATCATGTAATGTAATACACTGTTACCTGAATCAAAACGGTAAGTAATTTACATCTCTATATTTTCCAGTACTTAACAAACATTACCTTTATGGTATGCAGTGCATATATTAGATAGATCAAGAGGCTATACATTTTACATCTCTGACATTTCCATCACAAATTAAGAAGTGTGCCATCAGTTAGCATAAACAATACTTCAATATCCAATTCATCCATAAATAGCAACCAATTAGAATCAACAAGCTACTTGTGTTGGCAGTTTCACCCAAATGATGTAGCACCATCAGGAATACTGTACTACAAATTACCAGTGCAGGTGGTTATGCTAGTTGCACATACAAGGGCAATGCACCTTGGAGACATCAACCCTTACAAGGGCAAAGCACCTTGGAGACATCAACCCTAACATAAGTGGCCAATATCCCGGGCGTAGGCCGGATGCTCACAAGACTATGTCCCTCCCCTTTGCAAAGTTATTTTATGTAAACTTTTAATTTTTCTTTTTTTGCCATTTTCCAATGCCCATATTTGTTATGATCTGCTTTATCCAGATGCACAGACTCCATATCATCTCCCTCTGTAGTAAATAACTCAGTGCAAGAGAGAGAAAAAAAACATTTGGTTGTGTTATATCTAAACTTTTTGAAGTTGTTAATTTTCTGTAATATAACCTGCGCTGCTGGTCACAGTGACCAGGAATACCATGCTGTGCATGTAAATGGCATCATCCCTTCCAGTCAAGGCTTACACACATT